GGTGTGCTTCTCAGGTTGCTGAGTCCAAGACTTGAACTGCGCAGTTGGTCATGTGTGATCTAGCCACCTTAACCTCATTGTCACTGGCTGGCCAAGACTTTAAAAATTCTGTTATAAGATCATTTACTGTTAATTAAAAATATAATAGTGTTGAGGGGTTGCATAACTCCTGGAGTGCCAGTAATTGATTAACCTCATCCTTTTTGCCATGATCGTGTCATTTGCCAATTTCTATCATGTAATTATTAATTGCAGTTCAGTGGTTAAACAAACTGGTACATTCATGGAATACAATTCAGCAATAAAAAGTAATAAACTCTTATACATGCAACAACATGTATGAAAAGTGACAAAAGCAGGTCTGCAGTAGTCTGTGCATATGTGAAGCAATAAAGTGAGAGGAGAGGGAGAGATCACCGTGGGGCACTAGGACACTTGTGGCAATTATGAAAATGCTCATTTTGGGGTGATGGTTTCATGGGCGTAGATAAGTCTTACTCAGCTGTATCCTTTAAAATGTGTAGGTTACCATATGCCATTTATGCATTAGTAAAGCTGTAAAAAAAGAAGTTTCAAAAAAGGCAAACATTTCTGTTTGGAAAGCATTTCACATAAGTTATTCTTAGACACTGAAAAGTACTTTATTCTAGGGAACAGTAAAAAAGACATTTTGGTTCTTAATCTGAAAATGGACATTTAAACTATTCATGGTGTAAACAATTAAAAAAAAGGCAAAAGAGGATGTCACTTTGGTTTTTCTTAGTGTTTTGCTTATAATTAACTTATTTTTAAAAAACACTACCAATATAATATACTTTCTCAAAAACTTTTATTTTTTGATTAAAATATTAGCTTTGCCTTCCTAATATACAGTTGTAAATACAGAACTTTAAAAATCAGATGTATTTTCAACAAGTGATTTTAATAGGTTTGTCACTGTGGTATTCAATAAGCTGTTTTTATTGGGAAAAATAAACGTTCAGATAAATATTATCTCCTTACATAGTATGTTAGGTAGACTGGGCATCTCAAGATAGGTAGAATATATGAAGAAAGAGATGAGAAATAAGCCATTAAGATGAAATATTATGATGAGAGTAAATTCAGCTATACTAGAAATAATTTTAAACCTTATTTTCCCGTGTTTGAAATGTGATTTGTGGAAATGAGAATAGACACTTGCTACTGTAGCATGATTTCATCATCATTTGTTTTCTTGGGATGGTCAAATAAACACACGAAAGTTACCGCCAAATTCAATGTCTTTGGATGTTTATCTGTTTCTGCTATAGCTCTATAACATTCATTATATTTTTGGGTGACTTTATGTAACATTAAAGTAGCTGTCTTAAAGGGAGGACAAATTGAAATCCTGAATTATGAATGGGAGGGATACATTTGTTAGGAATTAGACTGACTCTGGGGAATTGACTGGAAGTTTGTTTGTTTTTTAAAGGTCTATGACTACAGAACATCCAACATTTTGATGAAGTTTACCAAAATGTAGCTCTCAGGCCTTGGCTACCAAGGTTTCAAATCTGTAGGCTTTTCTAATAGACAGAAATCCAAGAGATTCTGATGCTTGTGGTCCTTGGACTACATTTAAAGAAGCCTTGCTTTAAGCAATTCGGGGGCAGAGAACATTTTCTTGATAATCCCAGGGTCTAGCATAGACCTGGTTTAGGATGGACATCTCATACCCTCCCCCTCCTTCTCTCCTTAAGCAACAATTGTTCTACGTGAAATAAGTAAGAATTATTGATTTGGTAGGGGAAAGGAGTCTGAGTAAGTAAGTAAGACCCAGAAGCCCTGGTGTTATCCCTTAGAATTATGTTATAATTTTCTAAAGGTGGGCTTTAGCTACTGACAGCCAGGGTCTATTTTAAAAATAGACTAGTATATATTACCTTATCTACTATATGTCAAGGAAGCTAGTGAAAGAGAAATAGAGGAATATGTGTTTTAATCGCTCTCCATTGTTGGCATGTCTGTCTCAACTTGATGTGTGTTTGCTTTTGCTGTCTATCTTTCCCATCATATCACTTAAAAATGCCTTAAACGTACAGAGAATTTGAACAACGTTTCCAAAGTAAAGCTATAACCAACCCAACTATTATACTGGCAGGCACTGGCTGTTTTGTCGTCAGAATATTAGAGCATAGGGCCTTGCGATACCTCTGAATTGAGGATTTTGAGAATTGGCAGCGAGAGCTGAAAGAATTTCTTGTCACAGAGTAAGAAAGGCTGACACGAGGGTATACCTGGATGATTGCCCAGGTACATATTACCTCATTCATCTCCATATTTCCCAGAGCCCAGTTGGTGCCCAGCCAAGTCCTGTGGGGAGCATCTAATCTGGAACACTCAGGAAGGGACTAGACAACGAGGGTATCAAAATTCACTCAGAGCAAGAAGAGGGTTGTGATCTAGACTGGGATGTTTGGCTCCAGAACTATTTAGAACTCTTTGCACTTGCACACGTGTGCGTGTGTTTATATCAGATTTCTTGTTCGGGAATGTTAGCTAATGACAGTCAGGGAAATTGGATTTTGGAAACCCACTTGCCTGTTGTCCATTGTTTTTAGCCCTTCTTCTTCTGAATCTTTATTTATTTATTTTTTTCCCCTCTCTCCTACTTCTTCCCTTTCGGGAAGAGAATTTGTCATATAGAAAGTAGGAGCTCTTAGACTGAAAACCTAGGCATCTTCCCCTCTGAGTATAAATGGGCTTGTGCAGAATGGGAAATGTGAATGACTGGTTGGTTCGTCATGGGCAGCCCTTGGTGATACATGTCAATTTGCATATTCTCCTGGGCTTCCTACTCACTGGTGGCAGAATTAACATTTGGTAGACAAACAGCACAGTACATTTCCACTGAGAGCTCCAGCATGGTGGTTGTTTGCTGGGCACCTGATTCAAGTCACTGAGTCACTGTTATACCTTATTATAGTCTCACCTCAGCAAAATTACATAGTGTGGAGTATTTATTTTATAAAACATTTTGATGTACTGGGGAAAAGAGAAAGTAAAATTAATACTGACTGGTTCTGCATATATTTTTTAAAGAATTATTTGTTTAATTTTGCTTATTATTATCATTTCTCTGTTTGACCAGAGAGAGACACAGAGAGAGGTAAAGTGAGAAAGCAAGCCATTAGGTCCAAACTCAGACCTCAGTTAGCCATGTGGGAGTCTAGCGCCTTAACCACCATGCCACCTGCTGGCCCCCTGGCTGGTTTCATTCTTTCCTAACTTCATTGTATCATTCCTAACATGTTTTGGGAGTGTTCATACACTATTTGTATATTCTTTTTTTTAAGAATTATTTTATTTAACTTTATTCATTTTAATTTTACCAGAGAGGGACAGAGGGTGAGTGAGAGCGATAGAGAGGGAAAGTGAGAAGCAAGCCACCAGGTCCAGGACTTGAACCATGGTCGGCCATATGGAGGTCCAGTGTTCTTAACCACCATTCCACTTGCCAGCCCCAGTATTTTGATATTCTTGAGGTCTAATTTTGGTGCTGTTGCTTTTCCTGTTCCCTGTCTAAGGGTTATTTGACATCTATCAAAACTACTGAGTATTCATGTTAATTTTTATTATTAATGAGAATACAATTTCTCTTGAACCTATTTCTTCTGTTAGCTCTTGACAACTAGCCAAACTTCCATATAAATATATCATTCCTGGCTGGGGATCTTCTATAAAACATATAACCCTTACTAATTGATTTCTGAACCTGGACTTCAGTACTCTTTGATATTATTCCAATTCTATATAAATTAATCATAAATTATTAAAAAATCATCATCGTAAATTATTTAAAATATGATTATAATGTATTGTTACAACTGATAAGTTTTAAATATTCTGTATCTATAACCACAGATATTGTTTATACAATTCTGTCATGTGATGTTAATCATAGTAGTTCTCCCATTAAGTTGGTAGGATTTGCCTCAATGTAATTCTGCTAAATTTGTTTCTTTCTGGGTAATGAAGACTCTTCAGATCGTTCTCAGATCTTTCTCTGTCTCTGAGTTTCATGCACATCTCTTCATCTCTGTGCTCCCTCATGAATGAAAGTCATCAAATACTCATCCTTCGTGGATTGCAGTTAGGAGTGTCTTTGAGGACTTATCCTATGGTCCTGGAATATATTTTTCTACCAGAAAAATTTTGAATTTTTTATATTTGCATCTTCATTGCAAATATACATTGAATAACTTGTAGGAAAAAAGATTAGCAGTTAATTCCATTAAAACCAATTAGTTTAATTAAATGCTAGATGTTGAATATTATTTTCCTGTCTTGGTATGTGATATTTTCTTCTTAACATGTTTAAATTAACTCTAGACCATCCATAACAATCTTGAAATCATCTATTTTTAAATGTGAAACTAAATCGTGAAAGATATAGGAAAAAATAAACAGAGGAGTTGAAATGGGGTTTTCATACAGTCTTTTTTTAAAATTTTTTTTATTTTTTCCCTTTTATTTTGGAGAGGTTTTTGCTATAGGGCACGTGTACTCACCAGAAAGACAGAGAGAGACAGAGAGACAGAAAGCAAGAAATCACCCCCCCAGGGGGATGGCCATGCCACAGTCCCTTCTCCATTCTCCTCCTTGGGATCTTGGGCACGCATGCCCACGTGCCTGGCGTGAGTTTAAGCCACTGGGTCCGGGACTCGAACCACAGTTGACTACATGAGAGTCCAGCGACATAGCCATTACACTAACTACTGGTCCCTTTATACAGTCTTAAGGAAAAGATTCTTCCTCACCCAATATTAGTATATATAAATATGGAGTGGATGTGGCAGTTCACACCATAATTTCATCACTGTAGCTTTCATATTCTCTCTCTCGTTCATATTATCAGTTATATTCTTTCTCTATAATTAATTCTTTCTCTATAATTCTCTAATTTCTTAGCTATGCAGATGAGTAGAGACCTGATTTCCTGTAAGAATAACTATGTTTGCTTTTGTTTGTTTTAGGAAAACCTCACAGCACCGGTAGTTCTGAACGGATTCAACTCTCAGGAATGTATAATGTCCGTAAAGGCAAAATGCAGTTGCCAGTGAACCGCTGGACAAGACGCCAAGTTATCCTGTGTGGGACTTGCCTGATAGTGTCGTCTGTGAAAGACAGCTTGACCGGGAAGATGCACGTTCTGCCACTGATTGGTGGGAAAGTAAGTTTAAAACAAAATACTAAGATTCCCTGACACCAATAAAGACTGAAATTTGAGCCATTTCTGTAATTTGGAGTCCATGATTTTTGACTTATCTGAGGTCTTACTCAGTTTCATGCTCCACCAGTGGGCATTGTCAGTTGAAGGAGTTGTCAGAAATAACAGCGCCATTGACTCCGTGATTCTCTAATAGTCTTCATAAGTACATGCCTTTTACCTACTTAGACTGGAAATCGGTCAGCTTTTACACTGCTAATATTTTAGAGTGTAGACGATAAATTCATTCTTGAGTAGACATTTTGATATCTTGAGCATGTATTTTGTAGTAGAGTGTACTGATCCCCCAGTCTGTGACCCCAGGATCTCCCTTGCACTGAAGTCTGTGATCACACTCTCCTTTAGCGCTTGTTTATTTGTGTTTAGTGACTAGTGGGGTTCACATTTTCAGTTTATTACCGTGACTGGACATCCATTTTCAACCTGAAATGCCACTCATCTCAGAGTAGACATGGGATGAGATCCACAGATGTCTCTGGCTTTACAGACGGCTTTACTGTGGGCATGCTGGCTCTTTCACTACCATCATTATGAAATAGGGGGAACCAGACTGCTTGGGGGAGATGTTGCTTTCTTTCCTTTGCCGGATTTCCTTATGAACTTCAAGTGTTGGTAAGGGTAGCGTCACCATAATTGTATGCTACAGTTTCTTGGTTTTTAAATGATACTATCCGTTAATAGGTGGAAAGGATGATTCAGAGGAGAAAATGGATTGTTGGACCCTGGGGGGCCTATTAAAGAAATGTTTTCTTCACCGTTTTTTCCTTCCTGAATGAGATGAAAAAGGAGGCAGAGATGGAGAATATAAAAAGAGGAAAAGCAAGACATTTTCTTTTGTTAAAGTAAATCTCAATTGCCAAATATCTGATCTGTTCCAGGGGTTAGAAATGAAGCAGATAAGACCAGATGCATGTAGCAATAAATGGTCTGCTCTTCACCCGCTATGTGGCAAACTCATTCTTCATTCATAAATTTAACCAGTTTATGAGCAACTTATGAATAAGTAGCCTATGTCAAGATTTTTTTGCCCTCTGCTGTTAAACATTCTAGACCAAAGAAGAATAATACTCGATCATCTCCAAAAATAGGTTTTGGTTAGGCTGCAAAGTACATTTAGACCTATTTCAGTTACTACATTTTGAAACCATTTTTCTTTCACTTTTGTCTAAACATGGAAGAGTTAGATACTCATCACTAAAGAGTTTGTCCTTTTGGTTGGAGTACTGAGGAATTAGTCATCAGCATCACCACCATAAGTCATTGTTAAAAAAATGAGTACTTAATGTTCGAAGCTGTGTTAGGTCAAGTGTGTGTCTGCCCCATGATGCTGATGTTTGTATTGGCAAATCTTATATAACCATGTATTAAATAACCTCTGTGGGGAGGACACTGCTTGGCATCTCGGAATTACCAAGATGGCAAAGTCACCATCTCTGCCTTTGAGTAGCTTATAATTTAGTATCAGGAGATGAAGGGTGGGCACCAATATTTGCTGCAGGGAAAAGTCAGAGAAGTACTGTGCAGATGAGTGGGAGGAGAATTACATTTTGGGAGGGGAACAAGGGAGTTCATAATGAAGGAAGGAGGTAGCAGTTAGGATAGAACTCTAAGGGTGAAGGATCTTTTGACATAAGATGATGGTCAGAAAGATTATTAAGCTTAGAGAGGCAGAAGCAGGAAGCATGTGGAATGTTCAGATAAGGTCAGAAGATCCAGTTATAATTAGCGTTTTCATTCAGAGTTACAGACGGGTCCTGTTTCCCAGGCCTATTATTGGGTGAACTTCTATCATTGAGTGAATTGAAAGTTAATAGCTTCCTCTTCTCACAAGCTAACCTTGTAAAACCTGTTTGGTGCTAACTTTAAAATAATTGAGTACATTGAAAAATTGAGTCTTTAAAACCTGTTGACCTAGTTAGAAAAAATATCCACTTTTGCATTCTGAGCTTTCATTCATGTTTGTTTATTTCTTTTTATTCAGTTCTGTTGTTAAAGGAAAAACAGTCAGTGGAAGAGTTTTTCCAACAAGTATTAGAAGAACTAGAGATAACTTGTGAGATAGATTGATTATAACCTACCTGTGATTGCTGTGCTATCACTTGAGCATGGTTATTAGTGTATATTTTCAAATAATAAGTGGTTTTGCTAAATAAAGCTTTCTTAAAATTTAATCATTGGGGAACCAGCAAATGGCATAATGGTTATGTTGCTGGACTCCTATGTAGTCAGCCACGGTTCGAGTCCCAGACTCAGCAGCTTAAAACTCACACCTGGTGTGTGTGTATGTGTGTGTGTGTGTGTGTGTGTGTCGGTGTGTGTGTGTGCGTGCGTGTGCGCACACCCAAAATCCCAAGAGGAGAATGGAGGAGAAGTGATTGCTATGTGGTCATCTCCCCTGGAGAGTGATTCCTCTCTTTCCGTCCTCTGGCAAGCATATGCACCCTATATTAAAAAATCTCTCATTTTAAAAAAAAACCTAAATAATTGGAAAAGTATTTGTTTAATAGATACTTTTTTCCCCATTGTGTAGTTATTTAATTTGTCCTTTGGAATTTAAAATGGATTTTTAGATCATGTATTTTAGTAAATGCTTTAATATTTGATAATTACAGAACATAATAAATTGAATGACTCTTAATGTGCTACTCAATTTAGCAACTTTAATAGTTGCTACCAATGTTTTTTTCTACTTGTGGTCTGTTTTCATCTGTCCTATGGCCTCTCCCAACCCCAGAGGTATCAGTGTCTTAGAATGTGTCATGTTCATGTTCTTCCTTTTTTTTGAGAGTTTTTTTTCACTGTAGGGCGCGTGCGCTCGCCAGACAGACAGAGAGAGACATAGAGACAGAAAGCGAGAAATCACCCCCCAGGGGGGATGGTCATGCCGCAATCCCTTCTCCTCCATTCTCCTCTTGGGATCTTGGGCACGCACGCACACGCGCCTGGCGTGAGTTCTAAGCCACCGGGTCTGGGACATGAACCGCGGTCAACTACGTGGGAGTCCAGCGACATAGCCGTTACGCTAACTGCTGGTTCCCATGTTCTTCCTTTTTTGAGATAAATTTTGTCGTGTAACCATATTTTACTTACTTTTGATCTGTGTAAAAATGATATTGTACAGCATGTGGTCTTCTGTAATTAAGTTTTTTTATTCAATATTATGTTTCATAATAAGATCTCATGTTCATGTGGTTTTCATTTCTGTATAATGTTCCTCTATAAACATTTCATCGTTTTCATAATTTCTTAAGTAATTTTCCTACTGATGGACTTTTGAATTTCTTCTCATTGTTATAGACAGTGATGCTAGCATGGTGTTATGTTGTTGATATGCCTCTTGGTAAGTAAGGACTTTTTCTAGGAAAGCAGTTTGCAACAGAGTTTCTATGCCCAAGGGACATTTGGTAATATGTGGGAGTGCTTTAATGGTCACATGATTAAATAGTCAGCATATCAGTTAATACATGCTTAAGTGAGGCCGTGGTAACAAAACCTCCAAATCTTAGTGACTTACAACAGTTATTTCTCACTCACATTTTATGCCCACTGTGGGTCAGTGGGGGTAGGAGGTGAGGATTTAATTTAGTTTTTTTTTACACAGTTGTCTAGGAGCTCAACCTGATGGAGGCTCAGCTTTTTTTGTTTGTTTGTTTTGTATTTACAGTAATGTGACTATGACCTTCCTTTGTTGCTTTTGCAAGGAAAGAGGTAACTGGAGTGTCCTCACTAACGCTTGTCTATTTGGAAGTCGAAGTGACTCGTTCCATTTCTGCTCCCATCTCCTTGGCCTGAACTGGTTACGTGTCTCCACTTCAGTTGTAGGGGGCCTGAAAAATGTGCGGAAAGAGAGTGCTTGACATGTACCAATATCTTTGCTGCAAGAGGACACTCTTGGCATGTAAAAAGTGAGGGCTTAGTGAACTGTCATGCAGAATATTAGCACGCACATGCACGGTGAAGGACTGTTGAATCCACATCCCTGTAATGACCTCTTGAGAAATACTGTTCTTGGGTACATGCTTAGGAAGGTCGTTGCTGGGTTCTAGGGCCTGTGCATACTTACTTTTATAAGATGGTATTGTACCGTTTTCCTAGGTTGTGCTATTTGTACGCAAATCAGTGTTTTGTTTCTCTGTGTGTTCACCAACACTTTACTGAAGTACACAGATAATACACTGTACATTTTAGTAATGATTTGATAACTATATACTCACATGAGTATAAGTTGATAGCTATATACACCCAGTTTTTAAAAGTTGATTTCCTCTATGAGAGTGAGAGATACACTCACACATAGGCACTCTGTCTGGGTCCCCATAGCACAGCCTGACCCCAGTCTTAACGGGTCTGGATTGTGGGCACATGTGTGCCCGTGCCTGGCGTGCTCAGGGATTGTGGGCACATGTGTGCCCATGCCTGGTGTGCTCAAGCCGAAGACCTTTCCCATCAGGGTGCAGTCATGCTGTCAGTACACCATCTCCTGGCTGTCTACTAAGTCATGAGATGATCACCTCCATCAAGATAGTGCACATACCCACCCATTGTCCCCAAAAGTTTCCTTGAACCCCATTGTACTCCTTCTTTCCCACTTTTTTCCACTCCTTTCAGTTTCCAAGAAACCACTTGCTTGATTTGTGTCAAAGCAGAATTGTCTAAATGGTGTTTTAAAAAAATTGTTTTCTCTTTGGTATATACAACAAAATGCAGTTGATTTTTGAGTGTCAATCTTACATACAGTCGGCTTGCTAAGTTTTCTGATTTATCCTCATTTCTAAAAGTTCTTTTGAGTTTACTATGTAGCTAATCATATCATATTCAAATAATAAGTTTTTAAAAATTTTTTCTTTATTTTGTCTTATTGTAATAGCCAGGACTCTAGTACAGTTTTGAACTGAAACTTTAAACTATAGATACTTTTTCTTAGAATGAGCTAGAACAAGCAGTATTTTTGACGTGTTCTTGCCATGTCATTATTCACTTGCCTCAACCTCCCAGTTAGCTAGGACCACAGGTGCACACTGTTTAGGTCAGGCCAGGAATTGAACCCAGATTCCTTAACTACTGCCTAGCAGCACTCCACTCCCCATTTGTGGCACTAGGGCTGGGCATATAAATCCTTACCTTATGGATGATCTTATAGAAAGTAAAATCTCATCACTGAAATTTGCCTTAGGTATTTGATAAGCACCTTTGGTCAGTTTAAATAAATTATTCATGTTCTTTGTTAAAACTTTTATCATGAACGATCTGTATTTTGATGTGACCTTTTGTTCAAGATAAGTCATCAGGACTGAGCTTGCCTGTAAATTTGTTACTGTTCACACCTGGTTTTAGTTATACTGACTTCCATTGAATGGGTTGGAGTGTTTTTCTTCAGTTTTTGTTTGGTGGATGAATTTGCATCAGTTAAATTATTTGTTCCTTGAAACTTTGGTTGTATGTCTGTAAAACCATATGGGTCTGGTATTTTCATGAGAAGTAAAAAAAAAAATACTCATTCAGTTTCTGAAGTGGTTATAGGACTTTTTAGGCCTTCCCCCCTCCCCTTGATTTTGTGTTGGTAAAAATATTTTTTTTAAAAGAATTTGCACAGACTGTTTTTTAATATTCTCTTTTTAATATCTGGTGAATTTGTCACCGTGTCGCTCTCTTCATTTTCACTGCTGTTTATTCATTCTTTTTCTTTTTTTCTTGGTAGAACTTGCCAGAAGATTTATCAATTTTATTAGGTTTTTTTTTTTTTTTCAAAGAATCAGTGTTTTTCTTTGTTACTTTTCTCTTGTTTTTCATTTCATTAATTTTTGCTTTTCATCAGTGTCTTCATTGGTTCATTTGGGCTTATTTGGTTTTTGTTTTTAATGTTTTTCCATCAAATTCTTAAGATACTTCCTGATCTTCTGCCTTCTTTTCCAATATGAGTATTTTAAAATGTTAATTTCCTTCTATGTATCTACTTCAGTTACAATCCACAGATTTTTGTATGTCGTAGTTTTATAATTGTGTGGTTATAAGAATTTTGTGTTTACACTTAAGAAGTGTTCATACGTGTGTTTTATTTATTTAAAACTGTGCCATTTAGAAGTGTTATTGATTTTCCAAAATGACTATATGGATTTTAAAATAAATTTTAAATCTGACTTCTTTGACATTTTTAAATAATTTCTTTGGGACTTGGCTTGTGGTCATTTTTGTAAAGAAAACGTAAAATTCAGTGTAATATCATGTTACATTGTCGTTTAGATATTTTCCCCCTTATGAAGAATTTACTGGAAGTGGAAATTTGATTTTGAGTGTATTATTTGCATTCTCAGGACTTGAAAGTTCTGGTAGTTTTATTTTATTTTATTGTTTTTATATATTTTTTTGGTTCAGTTTCACATGTAATTTTTTTAAAGGTTAACATGCTTGAAGACCTTTAAAAAAAAAGATGGTAATTCAGAGTAATACAAAAGTCCCTTAAGTAGAAATTCTTAAGTAAAAATCTTCAGTAGAAATCTTCCCAGGAGGAAGTAAGAGCCCCAGCACCCTACTGAGAGAGTATAGAAGAATAAGAAGGGAAGTCTGGTGGGGAAATCTAATGAGGAGAAAACTCCCCTTTTTTGGTTTTCTTGTAATTCAGACTTGGTCAGACACAGGAACTTAGTTGTTTTAAGTAATAAGAGGAACATCTCTAGGGAAAAATGCAAATCTGTGCAGGCTCACTGACCCAAGGTGTAGCTGGGGAGGTATGTCGCCTGTCCTGCTGTCTCACCCGTATTCTGCGTCTGTCTGTCTGTTCTCACAGGTAGAAGAGGTGAAAAAGCACCAGCACTGCTTAGCCTTCAGCTCCTCTGGACCCCAGAGCCAGACTTACTACATCTGCTTTGATACTTTCACAGAGTACTTAAGGTGGCTGCGACAGGTCTCTAAGGTAAGCTGCACTTACCCAGGGGTCTCTGCACCTTCTGGCTGCAGAGTTGCTTTCTGCTTTACCCAGTTCCAAAATACAGTTATACATACAATTGATTTTTTTCAGGTACTGCCAGTGATTAGCTTTTTTTTTTTTTTTTTAAAGATAGATTTTTTTTTTTTTTTTTGCTATGGGACACGTATACTCACTGGAGAAACAGAGAGAAAGTTAGAAATCACCCCCCAAATGGATGACCATGCCACAATTTCTTCTCCATTCTCCTTTCAGGATTTTGGGCACACATACACATGTGCCTGGCATGAGTTTCAAACCACTAGGTCCAGAACTCAAACCTCAGTCAGCCATGTGAGAGTCCAGTGATGTAACCATTATGCCATCTGCTGGCCCCAAGTGATTAACATTTTTCACAAAATATTTACTTATTTATCTATCTGTTTGTGGTGATTTTCAAGTTACTGGGTCCAGAACTTGAACCGTCGTCAGCCATGTGGGAATCCAGTGTCTTAACCACCATTATTATGATCATGATTTTTTTAGGTTTTTGCCATAGAGTGTTTGCACCCTCCGGAGAGAGACAAACACAGCGGGAAAGTGAGATACCACTCCCCCCGGGCAGGGTGGGTGACGATGCCACAGTCCCTTCTCCTCCATTATCTTCCTGGGATTTTGGGAATGTATGAACACTTATCTGGAGTATTTTTCAAGCTGCCAGGTTTAGGACTTGAACCTTGGTTGGCCATGTGGGAGTCCAGTGTCTTGACTTCATCATGCCACCTGCTGGCTTCAATTATTGTTTTTCTTTAAGGACTAATTTTGGCTGAAAATTAGCTTTTTTTTTTTTTTTTTTTCCTGTAGGGTGGCTTGTGGTCATTTTTGTAAAGAAAACGTAAAATTCAGTGTAATATCATGTTACATTGTCGTTTAGATATTTTCCCCCTTATGAAGAATTTACTGGAAGTGGAAATTTGATTTTGAGTGTATTATTTGCATTCTCAGGACTTGAAAGTTCTGGTAGTTTTATTTTATTTTATTGTTTTTATATATTTTTTTGGTTCAGTTTCACATGTAATTTTTTTAAAGGTTAACATGCTTGAAGACCTTTAAAAAAAAAGATGGTAATTCAGAGTAATACAAAAGTCCCTTAAGTAGAAATTCTTAAGTAAAAATCTTCAGTAGAAATCTTCCCAGGAGGAAGTAAGAGCCCCAGCACCCTACTGAGAGAGTATAGAAGAATAAGAAGGGAAGTCTGGTGGGGAAATCTAATGAGGAGAAAACTCCCCTTTTTTGGTTTTCTTGTAATTCAGACTTGGTCAGACACAGGAACTTAGTTGTTTTAAGTAATAAGAGGAACATCTCTAGGGAAAAATGCAAATCTGTGCAGGCTCACTGACCCAAGGTGTAGCTGGGGAGGTATGTCGCCTGTCCTGCTGTCTCACCCGTATTCTGCGTCTGTCTGTCTGTTCTCACAGGTAGAAGAGGTGAAAAAGCACCAGCACTGCTTAGCCTTCAGCTCCTCTGGACCCCAGAGCCAGACTTACTACATCTGCTTTGATACTTTCACAGAGTACTTAAGGTGGCTGCGACAGGTCTCTAAGGTAAGCTGCACTTACCCAGGGGTCTCTGCACCTTCTGGCTGCAGAGTTGCTTTCTGCTTTACCCAGTTCCAAAATACAGTTATACATACAATTGATTTTTTTCAGGTACTGCCAGTGATTAGCTTTTTTTTTTTTTTTTTAAAGATACATTTTTTTTATACTCACTGGAGAAACAGAGAGAAAGTTAGAAATCACCCCCCAAATGGATGGCCATGCCACAATTTCTTCTCCATTCTCCTTTCAGGATTTTGGGCACACATACACATGTGCCTGGCATGAGTTTCAAACCACTAGGTCCAGATCTCAAACCTCAGTCAGCCATGTGAGAGTCCAGTGATGTAACCATTATGCCATCTGCTGGCCCCAAGTGATTAACATTTTTCACAAAATATTTACTTATTTATCTATCTGTTTGTGGTGATTTTCAAGTTACTGGGTCCAGAACTTGAACCGTCGTCAGCCATGTGGGAATCCAGTGTCTTAACCACCATTATTATGATCATGATTTTTTTAGGTTTTTGCCATAGAGTGTTTGCACCCTCCGGAGAGAGACAAACACAGCGGGAAAGTGAGATACCACTCCCCCCGGGCAGGGTGGGTGACGATGCCACAGTCCCTTCTCCTCCATTATCTTCCTGGGATTTTGGGAATGTATGAACACTTATCTGGAGTATTTTTCAAGCTGCCAGGTTTAGGACTTGAACCTTGGTTGGCCATGTGGGAGTCCAGTGTCTTGACTTCATCATGCCACCTGCTGGCTTCAATTATTGTTTTTCTTTAAGGACTAATTTTGGCTGAAAATTAGCTTTTTTTTTTTTTTTTTTTTTCCTGTAGGGCGCTTGTGCTCGCCAGAAAGACAGAGAGAGAGACAGAGAAACAGAAAGCGAGAAATCACCTCCCGGGGGGGTGGGGGGGATGGCCATGCCACACT